TTCTGACAAACTTTTATACTTAAAATTTTTAAAAATTGAGATATAATTCCCATAACACAAAATTCACCACTGTAAAAGTATGTACTTCAGAGTTTTTTGCTTATTCATCGAGTTTAGAATATCATCACTGCTGTCTAATTTCAAAACATTTCTACCACCCCAGAAAAACACCTCATACCTGCTAGCAATAGTTCTGATCCTCATCCTCCTATCCCTTGACAATATTAATCTACTTACTGTCTCTATGAATTTTCCTATTCTGGATATTTCCTGTAACGAAATCACATAATATATGATGTGAGTGCCTGGCTTCTGTCACTTATCCTAATGTTTTCAAGGTTCATCCATAGTAAAGCAGATAATAATACTCCATTCCTTTTCACTGCTGCAAACTATTCCATTGTACAGATATACCACATTTTGTTTATCCATTTGGATTGCATCTACTTTTCATGTATTATAAATAATGCTGCCATGAGCATCTGTATACAAGTTTTTGGGTGAACATCTGTTTTCATTTCTCTGGGAGTGTATCTGCTGAATTATTTGATCATTTTGTATTTACCTCTTTGAGGAACTGCCAAATCATTTTTTCCAAAGTGGCTCTACTGTTTTATATTCCCACCCGCAACAATATTTGTAACCTCAGATGTCTGTGATCTCTCTAATGTTACAAACAAGATCTGCCCAGGGAGCCCAAGCAATCACAGGGATCTGTGACCACACGTACTTGCAATTTTGCCTGAAGAATTTCAAATGAGTAGCAGGTGGGAGTTTTTTTTTTTTTTTTTTTTTTTTTTAGAAGAGAAAGGAAAAGAGAAAAAGGGACACTTGCAAAGGAGAAAGGAAGAGTGGGTCCTCTCAGAAAGGAGGGGTGACTCACCCCCTTTATCCTTCAGTTTTATTGGGGGGTCAAAGGGATGTTTGCAGAGAGTCCTGTCCAGGTTCACCTCTTGACTTTTGACTGACAGCAAGATTGTATGTAGCTTCCAAGTCCCCACTGCACATGGTCTAACTTCATGGAGGGAACATTTTACTATTATAATGACGTGCTGGAGAGCCAAAAGGAACTCTGGTCACTTGGCCCGCTCCCATGTTTTTTTTTTTTTTTTGGTGGGGGGAACCAGGAACTGAACTCAGGGGCACTTGACCACTGAGCCACATCCTCAGCCCTATTTTGTATTTTATTTAGAGACAGGGTCTCACTGAGTTGCTTAGAACCTGGCTTTTGCTGAGGCTGATTTTGAACTCATGATCCTCCTGCCTCAGCTTCCTGAGCCATCCATGGGTTCTAATTGGAACTAGTTCTTACAGATTTTATGGTTGGGGGAGGGGGCTTTGTTTCTAATTATCCTGCCTCCCAGAATCTGATCTTTGTAAAGGTCACAAAAGTCTCCCTTCAGGGTATTTTGTGTTCTTATGGGCTGGAGGAGTTTTGGGGCTCCACGTCTATTTCTCCTGCAGTAACAGGGTGTTTGCTGAGGAACACGGCATCTCCTATTGACTGAAGCCTGGAGAGGGCCAGAGTGGCCTCAGGCAAATTGATCTTTAAAAGGAAAGTTTGAGGGTGTCAGCACAGCAGGCCCAGTCCGGAGAATTATGCCCTTAACTTCATGTGTCCACCGCTCCCGTCTGCCTGCTACCTGTCAGCTAGTACCTGGTCTTAGCCTTCCCTGTTTGTTGATGAAGATACTAAACTGGAAACTACTTCCCAGAGCCAGGTCCTCTGTGTATTCATTATCCAGCATTCTCAGAGCTCCCCGCTCTTCTCTCAGCATTGTTCTCAATTCTGTGGATACAGAGAAGAATGAAACTGCTAATCTCGAGACTGTGCAACTTTTGGAATCTTTAACAATGGTAGGGATTCCCACCTGTGTGACTTGGTTGAGGTGGGACCAAACCACCTAAGGATGGACGGAATCTCGTATCCGAGTACTGGATGAGTTTCGGATGCTGATCCCTTAGTGTAGATCCAGCTTTCTGTTCTTCATGATAAATTATCAGTTCATGTTCTATTTTCTTAATGGGAAAAATGTGTGAGAATCTGGCAATTCCTGTTTCTCTGAAATGAAAAATTTTATAGTGAAGTCATCTATTCCCAGGAGTTTGGGAATAAGTGTATAATTTGAGAAGGAATCACAATACTGAACATTTGTATACTTTGTCACCTGTTCCAGAGACATTATGTGTTTGTGATCATGTCATAGATCACAGTTCTGAGATGGGACATCCAGGCACATCTTATTTCCATTTCATGGATGACAGCTGAGCCTCAGAGAAAAGGGTAATTAGCCTCAAGCTGGACTCTTTGCTAAAGTAGTCATTCCCAAATACTAACCCTTGGACTACCACCATATGAGACAGAATCTTCATGGATGCATGAGGGAGAAAGAAAAGAAAGGGTAAGTTAATGAAATTTTTCACATTGTTAAATTTATTCAGTTTTAAAAATTGTTTTTAGGCCAGGCATGGTGGTGCATGCCTTTAATCCCAGCAGCTCCGAAGGCTGAGGTAGAGGAAGATGAGTTCAAAGCAGCCTCAGCAAAAGCGAGGCACTAAGCAACTCAGTGAGAACTTGTCTCTAAATAAAAAATAAAAAGAGCTAGCCAGGCATGGTGAGTGGTGCATGCCTATAATTCCAGCAACTCGGGAGGCCGAGGCAGGAGAACTGGAAGGTCAAAACTAGACTCACGGTGAGGTGCTAAGCAACTCAGTGAGACCCTGTCTCTAAATAAAATACAAAATAGGGCTGGGGATGTGATGCAGTGGTTGAGTGCCCCAAATAAACAAACAAAGTCTTTTGTTCTGAAATTAAGTCCCTCTTAATTTTATGCTGGAAAACATCACTTTTCTTTAACAAAAAGCAATGATAGTGGATAATGATTTTTTTTTTTTAAATTATTTGGATGTTGGCAACCTCAGTTTAAAAAGTTTTCTTTTTTCTTTTCTTTTTTTTTTTTTTTTTTAATAGTCTCATGAATTCTGTCTCAGAAATCTTGGGCCTGGTCTGACCTTTCCTGATTAATCACTTTGCTGCTTTCTCCTGAGGACCCTGTACTTGTGTTTTTTTCTAGACATACTGTCTTTCATTTGTGCCATGGTCATGTTTCCTACGCCACGTGCAACCTAGTATCCAGTCTCCTGGTTTTTAGCCAACCCCTCCTGGGCTGCCATATCTCACAGACTCATTAACTGGTGGAAAAGTATATAACCGTTATTTTAGTCAACTTTTTTGGCTGCTGTGACCAAAAAGATCTGACAAGAACATTGGAGGAGGAAAAGTTTATTTGGGGGGCTCACAGTTTCAAAGGTCTCAGTTCATAGATAGCTGGCTCCATTCCTCGGGGCTTGAGGTGAGGCAGAACATCATGGCAAAGAAGCGTGGTGGACACAAGCAGGTCAGGCATGGCTGTCAAGAATGAGAGTAACCCACCTCCTCCAGCCACACCCTGCCTGCCTACAATGACCACCCAGTTAACGCCCATCAGGGGATTCATGAGCTGATTAGGTCAAGGCTCTCATAACTTAATCATCTCACCTCTAAACATCTTGCATTGTCTCACAAGTGAGCTTTGGGGGGAACACCTTGTATCTGAACCATAACAACCTTGCAAGCTTTTATAAGACTAATTCAGTCTTTTAGTTTCTAATTGTGAGTAAATATGTCTTAGTGTTCAGTTTGTTAATTATTCTCGTGTTTTGCTTTTGGTTCTGGGGGGTCATGTATGACATTTTTAGCAAAGTGCAGTTAACTTGTATTTGAAAGGATGTTGTAATTATATTCATTGCATGCCTGATTCTCTCTCTGGTAGAAAGCAAGACTCGACCCAAGCAGGTTAATTAACTGGCCCACATCACTATCCATGAGAGGAACTAGGAAGTGGTGAGACTTCTTCTAAATATTACTCATCAGCTTCAAATGTAACCCTGAGGCCAACATACATATGACCAATGGAAAAACCCACCAGGCTCTTGAGTAACATGGTACAAAAAAACTACAGTGGGACCAGAGGATTCTCAAGTGCCACCCGAGTGGCTCCCCAGGCCCAGGTGAGGGAGAGGTTGCTGGCAGATGCCCCATCCCAGGGGACATTCATAAGTGTTCAGAGAGGAAGGGCGTGGCACATAAATTTAGAGAAAGCCTAAATTAAACAAAGCGATCCCATTCTGTAAAGCAGGACTTGGGATTTAATTTATTACAGGACATGGTAAGTGTCCCAGAGTGGCAAAGTTGCAACATGCCTCAACCATCTGGACTGCAGAATCCACCTCATTCCCCCTCGTTGCTCCTTCTTCCCTCCTCAGTCCTCTCTCAAAACTAGTCTTTGGCAGAAGGTTCTGCTTTAAGTGTGTTCTAACTACCTTTTCATTCAATCCCCAAAGCAACCAGACAGGTGACAATCATTGCCACGTACAGATAGATGAAGAACTCAAGGCACAGAGAGGCTGAGAAACTGGTCCAGGTTCACACAGGAGCAGGACCAGACAGCCAGGCATCAGAGGTGGTCTGTGAACTCCTGTGTTGTGCTGGTTTGGATAGCTAAATGGATTTCTTCCCTGTTATCATCCCCCAAGCACAGTGCGTTTCCGCATATAAATAAAGTTAAGAACCTAAACTAGGAAGTATACTGAAAGTTTTCCATGTGTTTGGCAGGCCATTGAACCCAGAAAAGACTGTGGGCTTTGGGGTGAAACAGATCTGAGCTCACAGCCACTTCTTGCAGTGTGGCCTTGACTAGTTAGGAAACTCCAAGAGCCTCCACTCGTTGCATTGACCCTTGGAGATGATAATGCCACAGTGAGTCTTGCCAAGGGGTTGACCTGGGAATGCACGTAACCGCCCAGGAAGACAAGGGTGATGGCCACTCCATGTGCCCTCCACACTGTGCTCCCCTCTGGCCCACACCTCCTTTCTTCTCACATGCTCAGGCCTGATGACTCAGCAAATGAAGTGGACTTGGCCCTGAGTGGCACCCACCTGCCGCTTGCCACAGAACACACAGCTCAGGGGAAATCCCACGAGAGGCCGTGCGGCCCACAAGAACGAATTCAGAAGGGAAGCAAGAGCCCAATGTAATGCTGTCTTCAGAAATCAGAAACACCATTGGACCAGGAGAGTGTGGTCTCGAGAGCCCTGAATTGTCCCCAGTGGGCTGTTACCCTAAAAGTAAGTGGAAATTGGGACTAAGGGACCAATATTGAGACTGAGTCCCACTTCCTGTGTGCTCTTGATAGGAGAAGCAGGAGGTCTGTGGGCTGGGGAGGCCCCTTCTGTGGTGTGATCTGGCCAGGAGGGCTGTGCAGGCCTAAAGAATCCCTCCTTACCCCAGTCCCTCTTCAGATGACCCTAGGAATCCCTGGAGTTGAAGGAAGGGCCTTTTCTTCCCCAGTTTTTTTAAGACAGTGAATATAAATTATAATTCCTTCTGTTACTCATATACTAATCATCATCAGGAGAGATGGCTTCACACACTCAATAGCTTTATATTTCATGTTTCCTCAGCAAATTGAATATCTTTAATAGCAACTAAATAGCAAAGGGGATAAACTGGAGAACCTGGCATCTAAAAAGTTTAAATTTTTAAAAAAAATTTTTGATTTATTTTTTATATTTTGTTAGCAGGGATTGAACTCAGGGGCACATCCCCAGTCTTGTTAATGTTTTATTTAGTGTCAGGGTCTCTTTGAGTTGCTGAGTGCCCTGCTTTTGCTGAGGCTGGCATTGAACTCTTGATCCTCCTGCCTCAGTCTCTTGAGCAGTGGGGATTATAGGTGTGCACCACTGTGCCTGGCTGTGCCTGGAAATTTTTTTGATTCTTTAATTCAAAGGATAAGGTAACATATTAAAGCCAATTTTGAAAATATATTTTAAAAAATGAACCATGATTCTGCCAATTTAAATTTGTTTCATTTTGTATATTACATTTTAGTGCATTCCTTCATATACAGATATTTTTGCATGGTTTTAATCATAGCATTTGTGTTATTAGGTATCCTGAAGACCTAGAAATGTGTATTTATGTACTTTATCATTTTTATTTTAATAGCTTAGGTGGGAGAGAATAGTTTAAGTCCCTCTTAAAAAAAAGGGGAGTGGATCCCAGGTGCACTTAGCAGGATATGATATCACTTGGTAAACCATGTCCCTGTTGGTGACTGTTAACAGTTTTATATAACTAGATGAATTGCTTATAGTTATTAGGAACAGAAGATCCGCTACAGTATCTTGAACATCGTTTTTTAAAAAGCCAAAGACAGGGCAATCCGGTCTGGTCGGGTGTGGCAAGACAATAGTGGTGTAGGCTTCTTTGGATTTTCTGCTTTGCCATCTCTTTTGCATTGCTTCCAGATTCAAAGTCATGATACAGCTACTTGCACACTAAGTGTAATGTCTGCATTCCAGGCAAACAGCAGAAGGAAGAGGGACAGGCAGAAGGTGTCCCTTCTCCAGCTCCACCCACACTTTTTATTCCTTTGGAAAACCCTCCCAGATCTTCTGGTCAAAGGTGCTCATTGGCTAAGAAGCCCTGGGAAAATTACAAACACTCTCAGATGCTCAGTTTCTTTTATTATTATCATTTTATTATTTGGTGTCAGGAATTGAACCCAGGGATGCTTAACCACTGAGTTACATCCCCAGCCCTTTATTTTTTTTTTTTTTTAATTTTGAGACAGGGTCTCACCTAAGTTGCTTAGGGCCTGGCTAAGTTGCTGTGACTGATTTTGAATTTGTAATCCTCCTGCCTCAGCTCCAGAGTTGCTAGGGATTACAGGCATGGGCCACCATACTGGGTTTCAGTTTCTTTATCTATAAAGTGAACGCAATAATTCCTACCTGAAAGGGTGTATGTGAAAAACAACTACAAATTTTAAAAATGCTATGCAAATTCCAGAGTTAAATTAAAATAGCCTTGCAATCTAATGCAGGTTACAATAGCTGAAATATTGTGTATCTTGTTGCAAAAGGACATACGTTATAATCATGTACAATCATCTCTTTTCTTCGCCCCAAAGTACATTTGGGAAGGAGAGAAAGCAGAACTAGACCATGTTTGGTTAGTGTTAAAGGGAAGTTAGAGAACTATGAGATTCCAGGCAGTGGTAGAAGTGGTCAAACCCCTGGTGGGTCCATATTTCTGTCTTCATTGTCTGGAAGACGAATATTATGTTGTAGAAACTGGTCACTCCTAAATTCAGAAGCAGAAAATTCCTGGCATGGCCAGTTCGAAAGATCTCACAGGTCTCCAGGCCAATGGGCAAATACCCCTGGGTGGAGGGCTCTGGTCTCAGTAATAAAAATTATAAACCAATTGAAGGTAGAAACTGTATCTCTATTACCTCTCTATTCCAACCCCTGACATCTAGGAGTCCTTCAGTAAAACTCTGCTTATTATTTCTGGCCCTACCTGGGAGACTGAGAGTCAGTCTTACCTGTGACTTATTTAAACTATTGTGACACTCAGCTCAACACTTTTGACTAGGGCTAAGAATGAACACTTTGGGTTGATGCATATTTTTTAAATAAAGTAATTATTATAATACTTAGAGCAAACCTATTAAGCATTTGCTATGTACACGTCATTCATATTTCCCATGTTAAACTCATTAAATCCTCCCTATTACTTTACAATAGGAATTATTTTATGCTCATCCCACAGAAGAGGAAACAGAAGCTCAGAGAGGACAAATAATTTGTCCTAGTTTACAAAGTTAAGAAAAAAGAGAAACCAGCTCAAAACGCCTAAGTCTGCACATAGATTTTCCTGGAAAATCACTGTTGAATTCCTGAAATAGTTTATAAATAATCTTCAGGAGCTTTATCCCATGTAATTCATTTTTTTTTAAAATGGTCCACCTTAGGTAAATAACTCAGCATCTTTAAGTTTTAATTTTCTCATCCCCCACCCCCCCAAAAAAATGGAAAAATAAAACTACTTATACCTTACAGTGTTTCTATGAGGATTAAATGAGATCATGTATTCATAGTGCCTGGCACATAGTAACTGTTGAGTATATTTTAACAATCACTTAAAAATTTGACAAATAGTTCTTAATGAGCGATGTCCATCAGAATTGTCAGTGGAAACTCTTCATGATCTTGAGTTCTGGGCCCCAACCAGGGAAGTTTGACAAAGTTCCCTAAGTGAATCTGATTCACATTCCCTCCTGAGCACCACTGCTGAATATGACCCACTTCTACCAAGGAAGGATTTTGTTTGGACATTGTGTTGTGTGCTCAGAAGAATGAAAGATGCACAATAATGGTCAATGTCACAGAGAAATAAGTAAATTGCTACAGGGAGGAGAGATGGGGTGATGCTCCTCCAGCTGGCAATGAAGGTTGGCTTCAGGGAGGTGGTAGCAACCCAGCAGCGCTTGACTGATCCAGCAGGATTAGCTTGCTGGTTACATGTGGAGGTAAGAGGCACGGAGGTGCAGGGAATGTCAGTGGGGACACTTAATTAGAGCATTGAGTCTCTAGGGTGAGTTGGGAGAGGAGGCCAGATGGTTGGTTGAAGTCAAAGAAGGGAGGGTCTAGAATTCTGGACAATTGATTTGTACTAAATTTGGAAGATCATGTCAGGCCACAAAAATTCCTTGAGCCACAGAGTGAACTGCTCTGAATCTCTCTCTCAGCTAGTAAATCTGGTTCTCTAATAAATTAGAAAGTGAAGAATCCAAAGGAAAGACCCTGAGCAAAGATCCAGAGACGTCTGATGCATCGGCCCCTGTCTCAGAACGAGAGCTCTTGTACCAGGCCAGCTACTTACAGGTGGTCAGAATAAAGGGAACAATTATATAAACCTGATTAGATGTTGGGGGAGGGGTGGTGAGAGGAAGAAGAAGTGAAGATGACTTTGAGATTTGAGCCTGGTGATGGGAAGAGCAGCACTGTGACCAGAAAAAAGGGAAGTTGGGGTTATGAGCTGGGGTGGGGGAGGGAGGAGGAGAAGTTGAATGTGTTGAGTTTGAGATGCCCGGGGAGGTAAGTGGAAATGTAAAGCTCAATGGAGAGGATTGAGCTACAAACAAACAAGCAAATGAAACAGAGTGAGTTAGCTGCATTGAGAGGTGTTCCTTGGAGCCCTGGTGGTGGATAAGCTCTGTGGAAAGGAAAGAAGAGCACAGAATTTTAACCCAGGGTCCATGGGTAGGCTTCTTGGTTGGAACTATCTGTGAAATTTTTAATATTTTAAGCAGAATAATATGTATATTAAGAACTCCATAATCTCACTGGATTATTTACCCTAAATGAGGTTAAAAAAATCACTAGTTTACATATATAGGGAAGAGGTGGGCTGAGATCATGCTCTTGGAATTTTTACATAGTAGGTACTGAATACAAATACTCCAGCCAGTTTCTGCATTCCTGGTTGTCATATTCCAGACTGTGGGGGTGATTGTCTTTGCCATGGCTAGACTGCCAAATGGATGTATGTTGTCTTAAAAATGTGTCTTCTTGGGCTGGGGTTGTAGCTCAGTGGTAGAGCGCTTGCCTAGCATGTTTGAGGCCCTGGGTTCAATCCTCAACACCACATAAAAATAAACAAAATAAAACTATTGTGTCCAACTAAAAAATAAATATATTTTTAAAAATGTGTCTTCTTGCTAAGACAATGGGGAAAGAATTCTTTTCAACAGTGGTGCTGAGATAATGACATATCTCCATGCAAAAGAATACCTCTGGACCCCTACCTCATACCATATACAAAAATTAACTCAATATTGGTCAAAGGCTTAAATGTAAGAGCTAAAACTATAACATTCTTAAAAGAAAACATCAGACCATCCATTTCTCCATCTACTGAGAAGGACATTGGTATGGAGAATAGTAACTGCTATGGCTTCCAGGGCTTTGATGAAACCTCAGATGTGGGGTCTTCTGGCCAAGCATCTGTGGTTTCATATTGTTGGAGCATTCATGGTTGCCCTGGGGGTTGCAGCTCTCTATAGGTTTGGTGTGGCTGAGCCAGGAAAGAAGGCATTATGCAGATTTCTATAGAAATTATGGTTGCATGGAACATTTTGAGAAGATGAGGAGGGCTCGTATCTTCCAGAGTGCAAAATGATTTTGGAATATGAAGAATTTCTTTGGATTGAGGTCCTTAGAAGTTTGTATTGACTTGTGCTCCTGAACTATAAAACATGAGTACATGGGCTAGGGAA